AGGGACCCCGGGGCTGGGTCACCCCAACTGTTGAGGAGCCGGGCCGGCTCTGCCCCAGCCAGGGCGGGCGCGCAAGGCTCCATCATGGTGGGCGTGTGAGCTTCTGGGCTGACAACGGCCACGGGGCACACCCCTACCCTGGGGTCCCGGACCCTGGGGCTCTTGCAGTGGCCTCCTGAGTGGCACTGTAGCTCTGGGCTGCAGCCGCAGGATATGTGTGGGCGCGTGCTACCGTCGGGACCACTTTACCCTGCCCCTGCCCCGTTTGGGGGGCTCCGAATGCTCCAGGGCCACTTTGTGGTGGTGCTGGCATGTGGGGCACCCCCCATCTGGGCCCCATCTCTCAGAGCCCTCGCATGTGTCAGGGCGTCTGCTGCTCCCTGTGAGGCTGTAGCTGTGGGTGTTGCTTGTTGCTGTGTGTACTCTGGGTGACAGGACCATGTGTCAGTGTTTATGTGACTGATTCCCAGTGCAACAAAGCTTATTAGAGTGTTCCTGGCTACGTTTGGTCACCCTGAGTGGGGTGTCTTAATGGGGGACATTAATGCACCCATCATTACTGTGACTCTTTGGAGCCATGCCCAGCTGAGATTGTGTGGCTGACCTGGTCACAGAAGGCAAAGTTGCTGTCATACAGTGTGTTGTGTTGACGGGCATGTTTGTCTGCCTGGACTTCAGGTGTGTGTCTGTGGTTTCTGCTGTAACTGCCTGCGGAATTGTCGCTTTCAAATGCAGAGGTGTTGGGTGTGACCATAGGGGACCATGGGTCAGGGTGTCCCATGGACTCCTGTGGTGGGTTTTACAAGGTGGGTCTTGCCTCTACGGGCAGGCCTCACGGCGTGCAGATTTACACGGGCTTGTATCTCGTGACCTTTCCCAGGGCTCTGTGTGTGTGTGCAGGTGAGGGCTGTGTGAGGTTCAGACCGTGTGCCTCATCCTTGGGGATTATCTACCCCAGCAGTTGCTGGATACCTTTTGAGTCTCATTCGCTGTTGTTATGTGACCCTGCCGAGGCAGGCAGGGCTTGTAGCTGTGAGTGGGGCTGCGTCTGGGTCAGCCTGGACACACCCGCCTGCCTCTGTGGCTGTGTGTTGTCATGCCTCTTGTTCTCACACATGAGAGTGGTTTGTGGTGTTACTGTAGCTTTGTGTGCAGTTACTGGTGTGCAGACCCGCGTAGGTGTGGGTTTGCATTTGTGTGTGTATCTCTCCTGGTACTTGGACCTGCATGTGTGTGAATGGATGTGCTCCTGTGTAACTCAGAACGCCAATGTGTATATTTGTGTGTTAGTATATAGCTCTAAGAATCACTGTGCACAGTCCCCATCGTATGTGTTTGTGTGTGTTGTTTTCTTGGTACATGAAACATGTATAGGGTGCAGTGGGACTTTAAATATTGCTGTGCAGGCTTCTGTGTGTGTGAGCAGGAGGGGAGGGAGAGAGATGGGGAGAGAGAGAGAGAGAGTGTGCGTGCTTCCTGGTGTACAACTCCGTAGCACATGTGTCAACAGGAGCCGCCTGAGCTGAGCCTTGGAGGGGCAGGGGGAGGGTCACCATCCTGGAGACTCTGGGGGCTTCCCAGGCCCAGCCCTGAGCCGGGCCAGCCGGCAGGGATGCCGCCTTCCAGGAAGGCTCACAGGGAGTTGGCGCTGGAGAGGCCAGGGCTGCCAAGCACAGCTGGCAGACACCGGATTAACTCTGCGTGTGCCCTGGCTCACCTCGGGAGAGGCTAGCTTGAGCATGCGAGGGTTCAGCTGGTTCATGCGCAGGTGCTGGGCCGGTGGACATCCCAGTGTCCTCTCCTCTGAAGCGCCCCCAGCTCACTCTACTTGGAGAGGGGTGGGCTGTCTGAGCAGTGGGCTGTGGCCTGGTTGACTGAGCCTTGCCCCCTTCCGGGAGAGGTGGGGAGAAGCACAGACCCCTCCTGGGGATCCAGGATGGGCTCGTCTCTGCGGCCGGGACTTGGGGCTACCTGTCCCTCCCCAAGGGTAGCAGCCTGTCAGGGAGCAGGACTGAGTGGGTGGGTGGCCCTGGCCCTGGGCCCTGGGCTCTGGGCTCACCTCACTTGGCAGTTGACCAGACTACGCGGGTCTCCCACACAGAGCCCCCTCCCACAGTGCTCCCACCACTCCCACTTGCTGCTCAGACAGGTGCCTCGATCACTGATCAGAGCTGGTGGGACCCGGAGGGCGGGGGCGGGTGGAGGCTCCTCTGAAGCTTGGCAGGATCAGCTGACCTCGCTCTCCTCTGTCTCTGTTGCAGAACACAGATCTATTTGAGATGATTGAAAAGATGCAGGTGAGGATGGCTCTGTGGCCTGTTCTGGGGAGCCACAGAGCTGGCTGGGCTGGGGCTGGGGGGCCCTTGCTGCATCTCCAGCCCTTCACCTCTCTGAGGACAGGCCACGCCAGTAGAAGATGGTGGCTACTGATTATCCAGGATCCTCTGTCTGAAGGTCAGGGTAGAGGATGCCCAACCCTCTCCATTTAGGCTCCCAGCTCCCATCCCTGTGTGGAACTGCAACGGGGCTGGGGTCAGATCATCCACCCACCCCACAGACACACACTGCCCCTCACCCAGTGAGAGACACCACAGGCTTTGCGGTGGGGGGCCCAGGTGGAATGGAGCTGGAGGAGGGGACAGACGCTGGGGGCCTGTCAGCCAGAGACTATGCTGCAGGAGTGGGAGGTATTCCCCTACACCCTCCACCCCCCAGCCTCGTCTGCTTTTCACATAGGTATGCACTGGGAGGTGGGCAGGGGGTGCTGGGGTGGGAGTACCTTGAATACTCTCTCAACTTCGATGCCTCCTGTTTCTCTTTCTGTCTCTCTCTCTCCAATGCCTCCTAGTTCTCTGTCTTTCTGTCTCATCGCTGCCTCTCCCTCCCCCTCTCTCCCTCAACACATATCTGTGTAGATAACAGCCCCCCCCCAGCTCACACAGTGGCGTGTGCACCTCCCCTGCCCCCACCCCAGTGGCACGTGCATTCCCGCAGAGTCCGCAGCCCTCCCTGAGGCTGCCAGCCTCCAGCCCCAGTCACTACCAGGACAGCCAGCCCTTCAGAGAGGCCCAGGGCCCCCAGCCAGCTAGCACCCTGCCCTGGGAGTACCCCAATCTTCATGGCCCACCTCCTAGGGCTTTCCCCTTGCACGCCCTGGGGAGGGGAGGCAGCGCCTGGCGGCGGGCCTGGGAGAGTGTAACAGTGCTGCCTTCTCTTCCAGGGAAGCAGGATGGATGAACAACGCTGCTCCTTCCCGCCGCCCCTCAAAGTAGGTGGGCCTGGCAGTCTGCCTCCCTCTCTAGGGGGTGGAGGGGATCTGGGAAGTGCTGCCACCACTGCCCATCAAGCAGGAAATCCATCCCCTTTCAGGAAGTAGTCTTACAGTGTGCCAGGTGCGGGGGCCACAGCCGCGAGCGGGGTAGACCCAGCCCCTGCCCTCTAGGAGTTCTGTGATGAGGAGAACCCCTCTCTTGCTAGAGGGCTGGGGCCTCTCTTCTAGCTCCTCCTCTCTGTCTTCACCGCTGCAGATTCCCCTTGCTTCTCCAGGCGTCCCCGCCCCAAACTCTCATCTCTCAAAGCCCTCATCTCTCAGACAGCTGCTGCCAAATGTTTTCCCTGAAACCAGTGATGACCAGAAGTTGCAGGAAGACTCCAACCCAGGCCCTAGGAGACTTATGAGCTCCTGCTCCATGAAGCTGCTGTCTGGATGGGGAGGGAGTGATAGGGAGGCAGGCCTGGGTGCCCCCCAGCCACTGGTGAGGAGACTGACCGGAGGCGGGGCACCCAGGGAGATGAGGGGGAGGCTCTTAGTTTTGACCCACTTTTCTTAGCATATGGTTCTTGGTGACTTGGGACCCCAGAGACCCTAGAAGACCAGGCCTGGTAGAGTGGGCCCAGGGCTGCAGGGTGAGGGTTAGAGGAGGGTGCATGGGCAGTAAGCCTGATGCTGTCTTCAGGGCAGAGGTCCTCACACCAGCAGTCAGTGCCACCTGGGAGCCTGTGAGAAATGCGCATTCTCAGACCCCGCCCAGACCGCTGCATCCAAAGCTCTAGGGTGGGGTGCAGCAACCCATGTTAACAAGCCCTCCAGGCAGTCCAGCGGTTTCTTCTGGGGAGGCAGTGAGCCCTCCTTTCCCCAGGCAAAGAGAACCCCAGAAGATGCCAGCACTCAGCACGCTAAGCCTGCCTCAGCCCATGCCCATCTGTAAGAGGCGATGAGGCCAGGGCCCCATCCACGCTCTGAGCCCTGAGGCTGGCCAAGCAGAGGCGAGCGCTGGGGGGCCTGGAGGACGGAAAGATGGAGAGACCCTTGCCCTGTTTGTGTTTTGCAGACAGAGGAGGACTACATTCCCTACCCGAGCGTGCACGAGGTACTCGGCTAGACCCCCGTGTCCACCCTTACCCAAGCCCAGGAGGCACTTACCCAGGGCTTCTGGAAACAGCTCCTCCTCCGTAGGAGCCTGGCCCGCGGGCCTTGCTGCAGGCTGGAGACTTAATTTCCAGGCCCAAGACCTCAGAGTCCATTTGAAACCTTAGGGCTTCTGAGCCAAATGTTCCAGCTTCCTGGGCCAAGGTCATGCTCCAGCTCTATCTGCCCCCACACCCCCTCTTGGAGACTTGGGTCTCGGCACTGTCTGGGTCTGGCTGAGGGAAAGGGCTAGAGCAGAACCCTGGGGCCCACACAGCCTCTGGCCTGTCCCCTCATATCCCTTAGCCATGACAGAAGTGGCTCCAGGTCTAAGTTGGGAGGGTGTCCCGGGGTCCCCAGTGGGGTACAGTGTGGGGTGGCTCTCAGCTGAGTCCCTCCTCAGGTCTTGGGGCGAGAAGGACCCTTCCCCCTCATCCTGCTGCCCCAGTTTGGGGGCTACTGGATTGAGGGCACCAACCACGAAATCACCAGCATCCCCGAGACAGAGCCGCTGCAGTCGCCCACGACCAAGGTGAAGCTCGAGTGCAACCCCACGGCCCGCATCTACCGGAAGCACTTTCTCGGCAAGGTGGGTGGCCGGCTGGTGTAGCGGGGCTGGCTGGGGTGGGTCACAGTTCAGCCCCACTCGAGGCTAGGCCTGGGAGGGAGCAGAACCCATGGGCCAGGGCTGGGTGACAGTCCTAGAGCCCTGAGTAAACATGCTCCCACCACACACACTCCCAGGCCCCAGGGAACTCGCATGGCGGAATCTCTTGTTCATTCGACAAACATTGATTGCAAAGGCAGCATTATGGCATAGTGGTTCACAGCAGAGACTCTGCCAGGGCTTGAATCCTGGCTCTGCCAGCGACTACACAGGACATCGGGCAAATCGCTTAACTTCTCTGTGCCTCATCTCCTAATCTGTGAAAATGGTGGTTGGTGGTGATGATACCCACCTCATGAGGCTGCTGTGAGGCTTCAGTGAGCTGTTACCTGTCAGGTCTTTACAGTGGCGTCTGGGACAGAGTAAGTGCTCAATCAGGGGTGGCAAATAATGAGGACAGGCCGTGTGCCTGGCCCTGTTCTAGGCACCAGGTATACAGCAGCCAACACAATAGACCCAGCCCCTCCCTTCGGGCAACTTGGAGTTAGGGGAACAGTAACGTCATGGATTGATGCAGCCCCTGCCCCGCCACCAGCACAGAGCAGGGACCCTGTCCAGCAACCACTTGTCAGAGTATTGAGGGAGCCGAGGGGAGGTCCCGTGCCAGGAACGTGTGTGTCAGGTTGCAGGCCGGGTGCTGTCTCTTTGTCAGCGTAGAGCCAAAATGGGGAAGTGTGTCGTGGACTCTGGAGCCTCATGGCATGTGTGGGAATCTTGGCTCTTCCATTAACTGATAGTGTGACCTTGGGTAAGCTATTTAACTTTCCTCATCTGTGAAAATGGGGATAATAAAAGTACAGGCAAAGCTTCTAGAACCATGCCTGGCACATGGTAAATACTCAGTTAATGTTAGCTGTTGTCACGTCTTCATAATTACTTGGTGATATCAGGATTATTCTGTTTTTGCAGAAGAGGAAACCGAAGCTCAGATAGGTAAATGATTTCGTCAAGGTCACACAATGACTAAGCCTGGGAATTGAACCAGCTTTGGCTGACCTTCCATTAAGATGCACGGGAGAGATCATGCTCCTAGCCATTGTGTGTGTGTGTGTGTGTGTGTGTGTGTGTGTGTTGGGAAGAGGGGGTGACTACTTGGGGGTTGGGAAGCTGTGTGACCTCAGTCTGGGCCTGGGCATTGGCCTGACTCTGGGAGACACTGGTGCTAACCAGTGGAGTTAGGGGAGGATCCATCGTGACTGAGACTAAACCAGCAAGCCAGGTTCAGGAGCCTTTGCCTGGGAACAAACCCAGAACCCAGCATGGAATTCCACTTCCCAGCTGAGCTCTAGAGGTGGAGAGAGACCTGCATCCTAGGCATCTGCTGTCCAGAGGTTCCCAGCTGGGTCTGGCAGGTGGTAGGATCTGGGGATACTGTGTATGCCAGACACATGGTTGGCACTCAGAAAAGTTTGTTGAAAGAGTGACAAGTGACAGATGAAGGTAGGAACAGATGAAGGTAGTGGACCTTGAGTGCAGTAGGATCTGAAGAAGTGCAGGTTGGAGGGTCAGAAGAGGTGGCTGGGCGCCGTGGCTTATACCTGTAATCACAGCACTTTGGGAGGCCGAGGCGGGCAGATCACTTGAGGTCAGGAGTTCAAGACCAGCCTGGGCAACATGGCAAAACCCCATCTCTACTAAAAATACAAAAATTAGCCAGGTATGTTGCTGGGCGCCTGTAATCCCAGTTACTCAGGAGGCTGAGGCAGGAGGATCGCTTGAACCCAGGAGGTGGAGATTGCAGTGAGCTGAGATGGTGCCACTGCACTCCAGCCTGGGCGACAGAGCAAAACTCTTATCTCAAAAAAAAAAGAAGAGGTCTCATGTCCAGGATCAGATTAGCAGTACTGAGGGGAGAAGCCCCAGGGCTGGCAGAACGGCAGGGCCCCTTTCTGACTCTAGGTGGGGTAACGGGGGAAGCAGCCAGGTGCTCAGACACTGGACCCTATCCTGGCAGATGGTGGAGGTTATGATGACTTTGGGCGTTGACTTTCTGGAACCCTGAGCCCGCTCTCCCTCTGTGTCCCGGGGGCTCCTCTGGGCTTGGGGGTGTCCAGGGAAACTCCCTGCTCCCTGGACTTCCCTGCCGAGTGCCTCCTTATCAAGTGCCTGCCACTCCCTCTCTGCTGGACGGTGTCAAGCATTTGGGGGTTTCTGCCACTTTGTGCCCAGGCAAGGCTGGGGGACTCTTCCCCGGGTCCATTGAGAATGCCCCTGAGCTACGGATTCATGGGGCACGTCCGCTGGCCCCTGCCTCTGTCTGCTCCTGGCCTCTGAGCACAGGTGTTCATGTTTGAACAGGATTTACTTCTAGGATGATTCCTGGGGCGGGTGTGGCCAGGCAGCCAGCTCCACTCCCAGAGTTTGGGCTAGGGCTGGGGCTGGGGTTGGCAGGGGGAGCCCGGGGCCAGGCTGGGTGGTGTCTCCCTGAACTTCCAGCCCTCGGCTTTGAGACTTCCCCACCTGGAGGTGCCAGCCCTGGGCTCCTCTCTAGGGGTGCCATCCCTGCAGCAGCCACCCCTGATACTCCTCGGGTGTCTTCCCAACCCTGCGCCCTCTCCTCCAGGTGAGACAGGAGGGCGGAAACCTGCCTGGCCAGCCGCCCTGTGTGTTGTGAGATGTTTCGCTTCCTGTTTCTCACGGGCCCTGGCTTCAGGGGCCACAGAGTCACAGGTTGGGCAATCAACTTTTGCTCACTGAACACCTGCTGGGTGCCCAGCCCTGAAAAGGGCCAAGGCTGAAGACAGGCATGGAGGTCCGAATATGGTCCCGACTCGATGAGCACCCAGAGATCCGGTGTTACTACCCACCCTCACTGAACTGAGCCAGGCACTTCGTCCCTTTCAGTCCTGGCCGCCACCAAAGTACAGGGCTCCCTCCTATTTGGCAGACTAGGAAAGCAAGGCACAGAGAGGCCAAGTGACCTCCTCAGGCTGCCCAGCTGGTCAGTGGCAGAGGGGGGCTTTGAGTGCCGGTCTGTCTGACGTGGGATCTGCTATCAGCCGTAACACCTGCTATGGGCGAAGGAGCCCCCTCCCCCCCATCTGCGAGTGGGTTGGCTTTCTGGCCTGGTTTCAGGAAGCCCCGTGCTCAGCCTCACCCACTCCCCTGGACCCCACCTCCCACTGCAGGAGCATTTCAATTACTACTCACTGGACACTGCCCTCGGCCACCTTGTCTTCTCACTCAAGTACGATGTCATCGGGGACCAAGAGCACCTGCGGCTGCTGCTCAGGTGAGGGTGGTGGGGGAGTCCCGAGATGGCAGGAAGGGCTGAGGCCTTAGAATCTCAGAGCCCATCTCATTTGACCCACTGTCTTCATCAAGGCCCAGAGAGGGGCAGGGATTTGCCTGAGATTGCACAGCAAGTTAGTACCCGAGTCAGCCTGATACCCATCATCACCTCTGGTCCTCGCTGTGGTCCACCCCCTTCTGGCCTTACTTTGTGGGGGGTGGGGTTCCCGTTTTCCTTTCCCAGGCCTTCACCATGTGACTTTCTCTTCCCAGGACCAAGTGCCGGACATACCATGATGTCATCCCCATCTCCTGCCTCACCGAGTTCCCTAATGTCGTCCAGATGGCAAAGGTGAGGCCTCCGCTCCCCTGAGCTTCCCTGGCTGGCCTCGCAGATGGGCACCTGTGGGGCTTCAGCTCTGCCTCAGTGTGCCCCCTTCAGCCGTAGGCCCTTGCCCTGGGCTGCTGCCCTATCCTGAGGCCGTCTCTCACGTGTTCCCACCGTGTCCTGGGCTGCCATGTGTTCTCCCAGGCCCCCGTCCCCTGCCTGTGTGCTTTTGGTTTTCTCTATAGCACCCTCAGATCTCAGGGGACCTCCGTTCCCTAAGCAACAGTGAACCCCGAGTCCTGCTTTAGCTCTGGCCATTCCCAGCATGGCTCCTCCCCAAACCTTGACCAGGGAGGCCCAGGCAACCCCGTCCTCTCCTCCCTGGCCCCATGCCTCACGCCCCTCCCTTATCTCCTCCTGCAGCTGGTGTGTGAAGACGTCAACGTGGATCGGTTCTATCCTGTGCTCTACCCCAAGGTATGACTGGATCTGGGCACAGCTCACTGAGGAGGGTGGGAGAGTAACTGGAAGACTGAGCATTTATTAAGCACCTTCTGTGTGCCAGGTACTTTCCCCAGGTTCTCTCATTTAATCCTCACAATAACCCTGTGAAGTCCACAATTTGCAGAAGAGGAGCCACCGAAAGGGCCTGTGCCTTACCCCAGGGTGCACAGCAGATAAGGAGGGCCTGCATTTAAGCCTAGGTTTGTCTGCCTTCGAGGCTGGCCTCGCTAACATCTGGAACCTCTGTGATGTTCGGAGACCCTCCTGAGAGCGATCTGTGCCGCGGTCCTCCCCTGGAATGGGTGTCTTTTCTACTGGCCCTGCCTTTTTGTCCCAGAGGAGACCTGTAGAGAAAGAATAGCCCCGGCACTTCCTGCCCGGGTGCTGGGAGCTGGGCTGTAGGCACTGTGACAGTGTGGGGATAGGGGCAGGGGCTTCTGCCTTGGACGAGCCAGGGGCACCTCCTGGAAGAGGACAGACAGGTAAACCCTTGTGTCCCTGACTGAATTCTGGAGCAGTGTGAGGTCTCTAGAGGTGGTGTGGTCCAGGACAGGTATCCTGAAGCGGCTTCAGAAATCAGGGCCCACCTCCTGCTTATGGGAGAGGAAACTGAGGCCTAAGGTGAGGAGGAGAACTTGCTCAATGCCCACAGCAGATTGGTGAGACGTGGCCTGTTCTGGAAGAATGATGTGGGTTTACAGAGAAGCCGAGGAGTGAGTTGGGAGTTAGACTGGAGTAGGGGCGGGCTTGGCATGGCAGGACTGGGACTCACGGCAAATTCAGGAGTGATGAGCCTAAGCTTTGGGATCCAACAGACCTGGGGTCAAATCCCAAGCCTGTACGTGCTTGCAAGTCATTGACCCTAGGTGAGTCACTTAAGGTCTCTGAACCTGAGATTCAGAGGGGACAGCTGGACTGTCTCCCTCCCAGGCTTGTTCTGAGAATTACATGACGTGATGCGTGTAGAGCGCCTGGCTCAGTGCTTGGCACAGGGGAAGAGCACGTCGAATGGCAGCTTGCACATGCAGCCTCTTCACCCGGCGTCCTCTCCTGCAGGCTTCCCGGCTCATTGTCACCTTTGACGAGCATGTCATCAGCAATAACTTCAAGTTTGGCGTCATTTATCAGAAGCTCGGGCAGGTGTGCTCACCTCCTCCTCCCTGCTGCCCCTCCCCACCCGGCCCCGTATCTGGAGCCTGACACCTTTTCCAGGGCAGCACAGCGGCCAAGGGACTCGGGAGCCCAGGAGGCTGCCAGAGGTCCTCCCTCCAGCCCTCTCTGGGTCCTAGTAGGGACAGAGGGCAGGGGCTTCTCAGGAACTCCAGCTCAATGACCTCGGCCCCTCATTCCCAGACCTCCGAGGAAGAACTCTTCAGCACCAATGAGGAAAGTCCCGCCTTCGTGGAGTTCCTTGAGTTTCTTGGCCAGAAGGTCAAACTGCAGGACTTTAAGGGGTGAGTATTAGGGTGGGCTGAGCAGAGTATAATCTGACTGTGCTCCTGGGCAGGGAGGGAGCCCCTGTCCTGGCCCCGTGGAGGCCTGGCCGGGGCTGGAGACTGAGCCATGGCCTGGGGGACCCGGGGGCAGGTTCCGAGGAGGCCTGGACGTGACCCACGGGCAGACGGGGACCGAATCTGTGTACTGCAACTTCCGCAACAAGGAGATCATGTTTCACGTGTCCACCAAGCTGCCCTACACAGAAGGGGACGCCCAGCAGGTAGCCTGGGCACCCCCACCTGCCTCCCATCTTCCACCTGTCCTCCCCCTCCACCTGTCCGTTCAGCTTCCATCACGCCAGGCTCAGCGCGGGCCCTGGGACAGATGGAAATGATCAGCGCCCCCACTTGTGGGCTCTCATTGGGTCAGGGGAGACAGGCTGCTTCAATGCTGGGAAAGCCTTGGTTTCTACAGTCAGAATGGCACCCACCTCCTAGGTGAGCATAAATGCATGAGTGCATAGAGGGACTAGAACAGTTCATAGTACGTTGCAAGAGTTTAGCAGATCTGAGCTGGTGCTTTATGGGGAGTGGAGAGCATCATGGGGTCATGTGGGGACGTGTAGTCTTGGCAGAGGTGGGAGCTTTCAAGAGGAAGTGACTTTTAGCCTGTGAAGGAGCTGGGAGAAGGCAGGGAAATGTTCCAGGTGGCGAGAACAGCTTCTGCAAAGGCCTGGACTCGAGGACATGCAAAGCATGTTCCAGGAACTGAACTCAGAAGTGTGTCCCCTTGTCCTGAGCCTCCTACAGGGCTATCTGCCTTCCCAATCAGGTCCCCAGCCCAAGGGAATAAAAGGGAAATGTGAGAAAAATGGAAATAGTTATTCCTTATTTTTAGTGTCTTTTAACTTTCTTTTACTGAGGGTCTGTGTTCATTTTAGCAACATGAACGTATACCAAGTAGAACTTGTTTATTCAATCGGGGGCCATGTTTGGGGCATTGATATAGGAGAAGGGCTGAGAGGTAGGGTCTAGGGACCGAGAGACCTGGGCTCGAGTCCCCAAGCTCATTATAGCTCATTATAGCACCTTCCAAGTCACTGCCCTCAGCCTTGGTTTCATCGTCTGTCACAGCACTCCAAAAAACCTACAGGAATTGTTCTTGTAATTTCAATAGATGTCCAGGCACAAGTGGGTTTTGATTGCGTGGATGAATTGAATAGTGGTGAGGTCTGGGACATTAGTGTACCCTCGTCACCTGAAGAGTGTACGTTGTTCCAAACAGGCCATTTTTCAACTAAAATCGTTTCAAGACAAGTTTATTTTGCTACATCGTTTTGGGGAAAGCAAATCCTTAGATGTGCCCTCTGACTACCCCAAACCCTCCTAAACCTCTGTGGGCACCCCTCTCCCCAGTGGGCCCCTTGTGGCCAGACCGTGAAGGCCTGTGGCCTTGTGCTCAGTTGCAGCGGAAGCGGCACATCGGGAACGACATCGTGGCTGTGGTCTTCCAGGATGAGAACACTCCTTTTGTGCCCGACATGATCGCATCCAACTTCCTGCATGCCTACGTAGTGGTGCAGGCTGAGGGCGGGGGCCCTGATGGCCCCCTCTACAAGGTGGGTGCTCTTGGAGCCTCCCAGGGGCGTCAGCAAGGACCCTGGCTGCAGCTCTGCCCTCCCTGGGATGCCTCTCTGAGCCTCACCTTTTCCAGCTGTAATGGGGGACCATGGAAGGCTTCAGTGGTGCCCTGTTCACACCATGCCCTCTGTCTTCCCCAAAGTTCACCCCCTCAGAGAGGACAGTTTCCCTCCTCTGCCTCCTGGCCTGGTATCACTGTCCTCCACCTCCCATAGCCTCCTCTGCCTTCACCATCCTGATGATTCCTGTAGCCCTCACCCCTCTCCACCACTAAAATTCAGGGCAAAAGATAGAGGGCAGAAATCCCTGGAAGAAAGATTCATCCAGCCCACAATCACTGAGCCTCCCCGACCAAGGGGTAGGCCAGGGAGGCAAAGTAGAGGTTTCTGGCTAGGCTGGGGCAGAGCAGACCCCAGACTCCACAGGAACAGACAGCTGCCCTCCCTTCCAGGTCTCTGTCACTGCAAGAGATGATGTGCCCTTCTTCGGACCCCCCCTCCCGGACCCCGCCGTGTTCAGAAAGGTGAGGGGCAGCCCCTAGTCATGGGCAAAGCAGGACAAAATGGGTGGGGGCCTGGGGGGTGCACATACATTCTGCCTTATGAGGTCCCAAAGCTGCATTGTGTACCAGGGCAGCTGGGCTCCCCTAACTGCAACTGGGGACTGGCTTTTCTGTTCATCTTGAAAACACTTTTTTTTTTTTCCCACAAGGTCACAGAATAAACTACACAATTGTTTTATACTTTCCATGTAGTAGACTGGCCTTTCCTCATTTCTGTTCTCTTTCTGACAGTTCCAATCTCTTCTTTCTTCTAAAATGTTTGGGGAGGGGCACACTTCAAGCTTGGGCTTCAGCTCTGTACACAGCTCAGCTACCCTAGACTGAAGCAGTAGGTCGAGACCCCAACTCAGACCCTAACATCTGTGGGGTTTGCTCTCCTGAGGGCATGGGCAGCGATGAAGGGCACTGGGGCCCCTTGAAGGTACCTGGGGAGCTGAACCCAGGGAGATGCCCTTTTGGGAGTGAAGAGGGTGACCCCAGGCCCCAGCAGAGCATGGTTCAGGAGCTGCAGCCTCTGCCTCATTGGGGTTCAGACTCTTGTTTATGTGTTCATCTGAACCTCCGTTTCTCATCTCCTCCACACTGGGGGTTTCCAGGGGCCTGAGTTCCAGGAATTTTTGCTGACAAAGCTGATCAATGCTGAATATGCCTGCTACAAGGCAGAGAAGTTTGCCAAACTGGAGGTGAGGATGGGCTGTAAGAGCTGGGTCACCCTCTTCTCACCTTCCAACCTAGAACTTCAGTCCTGTCCCTGGGAAGGGAAAAGCCATGTTCAGACCCTGGCCTTAGCGGGGACACCTGGGGCTGGATGGATTGATGGATGAGTAGGAGGTTGGGGAGAGGAAGCCGGAGGGATAGTGAGGAATGCCCAGGAGATGCTGGGATGCGGGCAGGCTGATGGGGGACACCTTGGGTCTGGGTAGGGGGCGAACCTGGGGGGTGGGGACATGAAGCCAGACCTTGAAGAGGCTATGAGGGGCCCTTCATATGAGGGTCCCTGGGGGCTGCTTGAGCTGTGGAGTGGCCTGGGGGAAGGTGGTGCAGGGGCCCTCCCCACTCCCCACTCATTCAGAGAAGGCGTCCCGTGCCTCAGAAAGGTGGCCGGGATTTGAACTGTGGGCCGAAGGGCTGATCCCTGGGGTCCTTCCTGACGGCCCGGGCCTGGCCCACAGGAGCGGACGCGCGCCGCCCTCCTGGAGACACTCTATGAGGAACTGCACATCCACAGCCAGTCCATGATGGGCTTGGGCGGCGACGAGGACAAGATGGAGAATGGCAGTGGGGGCGGCGGCTTCTTTGAGTCTTTCAAGGTGAAGGGCCCCAGGTCTACCTGGCCGGGGAGAAGGGATGCGGCTAGGGCGGAGTCCCAGGCTGAGGCTGATAGACTGATGGACACGGCATGGGGGTGGAGTCTGGCAGAAGGGGCGTGGCTTAGGGGGTGGAGTCCCGGACCGGGGGGTGGCTAGAGGCGGTTGGCATTGGAGATGGTATTTGAGAGGGGGTGTTGCTAGAGCGAAGTCCCGGACTGGGGCTCATTGACATGGTGTGGAGGTATGGCTAGAGGCTGCTCGCATGGGTGTAGAGTCTGGGAGGGGACGTGGCTGGGGGTGGAGTCAGGGGCCAGGGCTAATGGACATGGCTTGGGGGTGCGGCTAGAGGAAGCCCTAGTCTGGGAGGAGGGCCGGGCTCGAGGTGGATTTGGGCTTTACAATGGGCTTACACTTGTGGACATAGTCTGCCTTGAGTAGAGTTTGAGAGAGCAGCGTGTAAGGTGGGGCCCTGGCTTGAGGAGGAGTAACTGTTGGAGGTGGGGCCTAGGTGGAGAATTCACCTGGGAATTCTGCTGAAGGTTGGAGGATTCTGGGAGACAGCAAGGGCTGCTGATACAAAGGCTGCCAGGTCAGCAGGCAGAGAAGAGAGGAAGAGGCTCTGTCTTGACTGAGAGAAAGAAATAGAGTTCTCGGCCGGGCGCGGTGGCTCAAGCCTGTAATCCCAGCACTTTGGGAGGCCGAGACGGGCGGATCACGAGGTCAGGAGATCGAGACCATCCTGGCTAACACAGTGAAACCCCGTCTCTACTAAAAATACAAAAACTTAGCCGGGCGAGGTGGCAGGCGCCTGTAGTCCCAGCTACTCGGGAGGCTGAGGCAGGAGAATGGCGTGAACCCGGGAGGCGGAGCTTGCAGTGAGCTGAGATCCGGCCACTGCACTCCAGCCTGGGCGACAGAGCGAGACTCCGTCTCAAAAAAAAAAAAAAAAAAAAAAAAGAAATAGAGTTCTCAGAAGGGGTGTGGGTGTGTGAACCATGATCATTGGAGAGGGACCTGGCCTGTGTGACCCACCCTGCCTGTCCCTGGTTTAGCTTACTTTAAGAGCAGGGACACTTCAAATCTCAGCTCTGCTACTTACCAGCTTGGGCATTCCGTGAGCATCAGTTTCTTTATCTGTTGAGTAGGGTAATGGCAACTTATCTCATACAGTTATTGTTATCTTTAAAAGAGTTAGGTTAGTACAATATAAGTTTAAAAGCAAAATGCAAAACCTTACCTGTCTGCCTCAGCAATTATTGTCTGAAATGAGAAGTGTGGGGAGTGGAGTAGTTCCTGGACAGGGTCTGGACTCACCCAGGCTACAGGGCCCCAGATGGTAGCCTTTTTGCCACCGTCTCCACCCACCTGCCTATCTTCCAGGTGCCTGGCCAGCTGGTCACACCTCACCCTCAACCCAGGGCAGGTCACACAGCTGGAGATATGGGTTGGAATAAGGGAATTAGTCCAGCTGCCCAGGCCTGCCCAGGAACTGAGGGGAATAGATCATCTTTGAGAAAGAGGCTTGGAGACTGGAGACAGGACAGATGGGGTCAATATGGACCTGGGGTGTCTCCTTTGAGGAGGGCTCCGATGGTCCCACATCTGGTAGGTGCTGGACGGTGGACCTAGATTAGGTCAAATAATTTCTCAGAAGCAGCAGAGTCCACAGTTGAGGGCATGGGTCCTGGCATGCTGGGCTCGCCCCTGCCTCAGTTCCATCATGTGTGACATGGGCATGATTGCTAGTCCCCTTCTTGCAGGGGGATCCAGTGACAGAGTGATTGTAAAGCACTGGTCCCACAGCAAACATTTGGTATAGATTGGTCTGAAAAAAACAGGGAAGGAGGGTGTGAGGGAAGAAAAGAAAGAAGACAGGAGAGCTCTAAGAGGCCTCCACAGGAATGAAACGCGGGTGTCAAGAGGGCTCTCTGTGCACTCAGTATCTTCTGCAGTCCACACGCAGCCACATGAGGACACTCAGCACAGAGCAGCCTGTGTGTCCCAGAGACTGAGAGAAGTGAAGTCGTGTCCCCCAGGCCACTCGGCAAGTTGGTGGCAGAGCCAAGACCTGAGCTACCCTTAGGCAGGCCCCATATGTACCTGCTTCTCATGTGACGCACAGGGAAATTGAGGCCTGGCCCCACCTCCCTCTGTTGCCCTGCTGTCCATGTGCCCAGGGGAAGGGATTTCCAGGGCTCACCCAGAGTGGCATTGCCGGGGAGGGACCAGATGCCTGGGCTCCTGGGTTTCCCCAAGGGGACGGCCCTTAGGAATCCTGTGCCTCCTCCACCGCCACCCGCTTCACAGAGGGTCATCCGGAGCCGCAGCCAGTCCATGGATGCCATGGGGCTGAGCAACAAGAAGCCCAACACTGTGTCCACCAGCCACAGCGGGAGCTTCGCGCCCAACAACCCCGACCTGGCCAAGGCAGCTGGAATAGTGAGTGCCCTCCCCGTGCCCAGGCCCCTGTCCCTCCCTGAGGGGGGCCCTCAGCTCTCCTCTGCCTCCTGAGGCCTGGCCCCCCTCTCTCTGTTGCCCTGCTGCCCACGTGCCCAACCTAGGCTCTGGATTTGGTCTAGCCACTGCTTTCCTTGGGAGGGGGGTGAAGTGCCCAGGCAAGGACACTGCGGTGCTGACAGCTTGCAGCCTGCGGCCCCTTCCCAAGCTCCTTGGCCCTCCCCTCCTCCTGGCCCCTCATACATTGAGGTGTGACTTTCCGCAGGTCAGCCCTGGGGCAGCCTCTGTGTCTCATTCCTTATTGAGTATCTACTATCTGTTTGCTGGGGACTGGGCTGCTATGTGGGCACCTACTGTCAAGCCTTGGGTTTCTGTGGGCACCTACTGTGTGTCAGGCTGTGGGCACCCACTGTGTGTCAGGCCCTGGGCTGCTGTGTGGACGTGCACTCTGTGAGCATCTACTGTGGGCCCGGCCCTGAGTACCTGTGAGCACCCACTGTGTGTCAGGTCCTGGGCTGCTGTGTGGGCATCGACTCTGTGAGCACCCACTGTGTGTCAGGTCCTGGGCTGCTGTGTGGCGTGCACTCTGTGAGCATCTACTGTGGGCCCGGCCCTGAGTACCTGTGAGCACCCACTGTGTGTCAGGTCCTGGGCTGCTGTGTGGGCATCGACTCTGTGAGCACCCACTGTGTGTCAGGTCCTGGGCTGCTGTGTGGGCATCGATTCTGTGAGCGCCTACTGTGTGCACAGCCCTGGGCTGCTGTGTGAGAACCTACTCTGTGTCAGAAAATGGACTGCTGTATGAGCACATCGTGTGTGCTAAGCCCTAGATGTCAGTGAACACCTACTGTGTGTCAGGAAGTGAGCTGTTGTGTGGGTACTTTTTCTGTGAGCACCTCCTACTGTGTGTCCGCAGCAGCCAGGGCCTCTGTGGTGTGGCTGCCTATTGTGTGTCAGGAATCTGGCTTCTGTGTGAGCATCTCCAGAGGGAGCACCTCCTGTGTGATCACTGACCGTTGTCCAGGTTCTGGGATTCTGCTGCTCACACTCGGGAGTGCTGGGCACATGGATGAATACGGCCTATGGCTGTGGGCCTCACTGCTGTCCACTGCCTAGTGGCCACCCCAGGACACTGCACCCACTGCTGTGCTCCTCACCCATCCATCCATCCATCCATCCACCTACCCACCCATCCACCCACCCATCCATCCATCCATCCATCCATCCATCCATCCATCCATCCACTCACTTATCCACCCATCCATCCATCCATCTCCATCCATCCACTCACTTATCCACCCATCCATCCATCCATCTCCATCCATCTATCCATCCATCCATCCACTCACTTATCCACCCATCCATCCATCCATCTCCATCCATCCATCCATCCATCCATCCATCCATCCATCCATCCATTCATCCATCCATCCATTCATCCATCCACTCACCCATCCACCCATCCATCCACCCATCCATCCATCCATCTCCATCCATCCATCCATCCATCCATCCATTCATCCATCCACTCACCCATCCACCCATCCATCCACCCATCGATCCATCCATCTCCATCCATCCATCCATCTCCATCCATCCATCCATCCATCTACCCCATTCATTCACCCACCCATCTATCCATCCATCCATCCATCCATCCATCCATCCATCTCCATCCACCCATCCATCCATCCATCTCCATCCATCCATCCATCTCCATCCATCCATCCATCCATCCACCCCATTCATTCACCCACCCATCTATCCATCCATCCATCTATCCATCTATCCATCCATCCATCTATCCATCCATCCATCCATCCATCCATCTCCATCCACCCATCCATCCATCCATCCATCTCCATCCACCCATCTATCCATCCATCCATCCATCCACCCGTCCTTTATTGACTGTCTACTGCATGCCAAGCCCTGCGCTCAGTGCTGTGAGGCTATGTCACGTGGCAGGAGGGAATTCTCCCAACCTCTGCTGTCCAGCAGTCACCAAGCACACTGTCATGTGAGAAGCAGGCCCAACCTCCCCCAACCCAGTTTTATCAACCCCTCCCTTCCTCTCCACCAGAGTGACCCAGCCTCCTATGGGTGGCCGAGAGGGGCCCCAGGGACAGGACCAGGCCAGCAGCACCCACCATGGCAGTAATTGGACCCATTTCTATTTTGATTTTGCACAATTCTCCCTCTCTCTGTGTTTCCTCCTTTCATTCCACTCTCTCTCCTTGTTTTTTTGTTCCCTCCTCCCTTCCCTCTCCCCCTCCTGTGGCCTCTCTGCCCTTTGGCTCTCTGTTTCTCCTTCCTTCTTGCACCTGTCTTTTTTGCTCCCTCTCCTCCTTCCCTTTTCCGCTCTTCTCACCCTCGCCTTTTCCTTTCGGCCTTCCCCTGTCTTCCTTCTCCGTCTCTGACCCTCCCTGGGCCTGTCTCTGTGTCCTTGCGTCCCTGTCTCTCTGGATTTCCTTCTGTGCCTGTCTGGTGTGCCCTCGCTGGCTCACGCGTGTCCCTGTCTCCGGGTAACTGTCTATCTGTCCATCTCTCTCCCTGTCTCACCTGTCCTCTGTCTCTCCTTATGCTTCTCGCCTTCCCTTCCCCTGGCCCTATCTCTCCCATTGCCTCTCTATCTCTCCCGTTGCCTCCTGCGCCATTCTCGTCCTTTTTCTGTCTGTCTTCCTCCTTTCCCTGCCTCTCCTCCTCTCTTTGTCTCCCTCCCACCATCTCTTTCGCTCTCTGACTCTTTCTCTGTCTCTCTCTCTCTGCCCTCGCCCTCTGCTGCTTGCCAGTCATTGCTTATTCCTGGGAAAAGTGCGAGTAGATTCGGACGCCGGGGCAGTGCCATAGGCATAGGAACCGTGGAAGAGGTTGTCGTCCGCGGGGCCGCCGGCTCTGGAGGCTGCCTGCACGCGCTGTTCTCTGCTCGCTCTCAGGACGGAGGCCATATTGGGGACGTTGCCCCTCTGCCCCCGGGACAGGCCCCAGGGCGTGCGGGATGGAGTGGCGGCAGCTCCGATGGCACTCAGCACCTGCTTTGGGGCCTGGTACCTGTGCCAGAGCCAGTGCCCCTCATCAGGGGCTTCTGGCCCTGCCTTGGCCCCTGGGACCCTGGCCCAGTCCCTGCCAGGATCCGGTACCCAAAGGCCCTACACCCAGCCGCACGTCCCCCAATATCGCCGGTCTGCATGGAGCGCCATCCCTCTCCTCTGCCCTGACTCCTCCCTGCCACGAACTGGCCTGGGGTCCTACCCCTTCCTGCCTCCAGAGAAGCTGGGGGCAGGCTTCTGGGGCCTGGGGCATCCCAGCACAGTGTGTGGGAAGCTGGGGGGGGGTCTTCCAGCTACTGGGCCAGAACCTCCCCCACCCAATTTGGAGGTTCCAGGAAGGGGCCCCAGCTGGCACGGGGTGGGGCTTGGGTTGCTACACCACGCTCTGACCACCGCCCTTAGGCTGCAGATCCCACAGAGCCCTGCGGGGCGGGGAGCCGTAGCCATTCTGAGGACTCGGTCTCCTCCCACCCCAGCCCCCTCAGGACCCTGCCCTAATCCTGGGCCTGTATTGGTGGTCCTGCTGTGTGAGCTTGGGAGAGCCCCTTGCCCTCCTGGGGACTGTTTCCCTTTCTGTGAACTGGGAGGCCTATCTGGGGATGGATATCTTCTCTCGTTCTTTCTTGCTCACCAACTCTGCTTCAGGGCCTGGGGCAGCAAGGTCCCCAGAGGGGATGTTGGGGGGCACTGGGGCTCCCAGGGAAGGTGGCACTGAGTTGGGGCCTCTCCCCACAGTCACTGATTGTCCCTGGGAAGAGCCCCACGAGGAAGAAGTCGGGCCCGTTCGGCTCCCGCCGCAGCAGCGCCATTGGCATCGAGAACATACAGGAGGTGCAGGAGAAGAGGTGGGTGAGGGGGGGACAGTGCCCCGTTCCCCTGCACCCCCATCCCTGATCCCCATTCGGTGGCAAAGCAGAGCAGGCAGAAGGGAGTGCCCGCCCCTCTGCCTCTCTGTCCCCACTAGTGACAGCTGTGTGGTCAAGTCTCTGCTGTGTGTCGGGCACCAGGGCCAGCACGTCACCTAACGTGCCACATGCAGATCAAGAAGCCGTAGGTCAGAGGGGTCAAGGGGCTTGCCCAGGTCACACAGCCAGTGATGGGCAGAGCTGGGATCTGAGCCCTGATCTGTCTAGGGCCAGCACCCATGCTCTTCCCACAGCCCCAGCACATGTGGGAGGGCCTAGTGCTGATGTTTGCGGTGGCCACAGATGGGCCTGGGGGTGAGCAAGTGTGGGCAGCATGAGGGCAGTGAGCCCAGACCAGCAGCAGGGCTGCCCCTGGAATTCCGAGGCTAGCTCCTGGGTGTGAGTACTGCCTCCGTGGTACTAACCACATGTGACCTTGGGTGAGTCACTGAGCTCCTCTGAGCCTTACTGTCCCAACCTGGAAAAGGGACAAGAACACAACCCATGGCATGGGGCTGCTGTGGGGACCTGGGGCGCTGCATGTGAGGCCGGGGCCAGGCCCCCTGAGAGGGCTCCAGGAGGGGAGCGGGCATTGTCCTTGCTGCTGCCAGAGCTCCACGTGCTGCGAGTCCTGGGTTCAGGTCTTGGCACTGCCACATCCTAGCTGTGCGTCCCTGGGCAGGTTCCTTATCCATAATGGGACAGCTGTACCTGCTCCTGTGGAGAGGACCTGGGAGGAGTCCCATCCCTGTCCCATACAGCCCCGTCAGTGCCAACCCCATCACTGGCCAGGCTCACCGGGGAGCTCACAAGACTGCTCCATGGCTGGCCCTGAGGATAGGGGTGTGGGTATGAGGCAGGAGGCACCGTGACCCCCCTCACCGCCTGGGCCTCATGCTACCCCTGTTGCCGGGCCCAGAGCTGAATCCCCCCGCTGCCCCCGTGTGCCCCGCAGGGAGAGCCCTCCGGCTGGTCAGAAGACCCCAGACAGCGGGCACGTCTCACAGGAGCCCAAGTCGGAGAACTCATCCACTCAGAGCTCCCCAGAGATGCCCACGACCAAGAACAGGTTGGGGCTCAGGGCACGTGGGGCTTGGGGGCTTGGGAGTGGTGAACCGTCCTTCCCCTCCCCTGCCTGGGCCCGGGACAGCCCAGGAGCCTTGACTCTGCCACAGCAGGGTGTCAGGGGTCCTGGGCATTCTCTGGGGCCCTCCTTTGACATATACCCACCGAACGCTTTGTGCACGCCCAGCCCTGCGCCTGGCTCTGGGGCACAGAGGTGCCGTGCACATAGGTCCCCGCCTCACGGCTGCAGGTCCACCAAAACATGGCCTCATAAGCTGTTTCCAGATCATGGTGATAGGAGGAACCCGAAGCAGGGTTGGGGGGGGATGAAGAAGGACTGGGGGCAGGGGTGCTTTAGATGGGTCCTCAGGGGAGACACCTCCATGGGGTGACATTTGAATTGGGAATTGAGCCAGCCCTGCTAGGACTGGCATGGCAAAGAGAAGAGCATTCAGGTGAGGAGCTCGGCCAGTGCAGAGGCCTGGGGCACACTCCAGGGACAGAAAGAAGGGTGGCCGGGAGTGGTGACGTATGCCTGGAGTCCACCTACCTGGGAGGCTGAAGCAGGAGGATGGTTTTAGCCCAGGAGTTTGAGGCGGCAGTGAGCTATGATCATGCTTGTGAATAACTACTGCAACTGCATTCCAGCCTGGACATCATAGCAAGACTCTATCACTTTAAAAAAAAAAAAAAAAAAAAGAGTACCTGAGGGGCTGGGCCCAGACAGACATTGTGACACTGCGCTGGATGGTGGCAGGAAGGAGGTTGGAGAGGGGGGCAGACACTGGCTTATAGCTTAGCGGGCTGTAAAAGAGCTTTGTCCTTTTTTTTTCCTTTTCTTTCTTTTTTTTTTTTTTTTTTTGAGACAGAGTCTCGCTCTGTCGCCAGGCTGGAGTGCAGTGGCATAATCTCAGCTCACTGCAAGCTCCGCCTCCTGAGTTCTTGCCATTCTCCTGCCTCAGCCTCCCGAGTAGCTGGGACTACGGGCACCCACCACCATGCCCAGCTAATTTTTGTATTTTTAGTAAAGACAGGGTTTCACCGTGTTAGCCAGGATGGTCTCGATCTCCTGACCTTGTGATCTGCCTGCCTTGGCCTCCCAAAGTGCTGGGATTACAGGCATGAGCCACCGCGCCTGGCCTAAGAGCTTTGACTTTTATCCTAAGTGTGACAGGAAGCCTTGGGAGGATTTTAATCATGAGGGTGATGCTTCAAGAAGCTGACCGCGGTTGCTCTCTGGAGAAGAGGCTGGAGTGGGGTGGGATGGAAGCAGAGAGGCCAGTGAGGAAGCTGTCCCTGCATTTGGTGTCCGTTGGCTGAGTTGCCTCTGTGTTGGGTTCTGTGGGGATCGAGAGGACTCAGCCCAGGCTAAAGAGCCGAGTAGGCAAACAGAGAGGCAGGAAAGGATGGCAGGGACAGGGGAGACGCGGTATGCAGGAGCCAGCGTGGGGAGGGTCATTCTCACCTTGGGAGGAGGAATCGGAGAAGGACTCCTGGAGCGGGAGCCCTAGGCTGATTTTTGAAAGGCACATTTGCTTTTCGGGATTTGAGAGGACTGAGACTCCAGGCAGGAGGCGCGGAGGCCCTGAGCATGAAAACCTTGTGGGGTTAAGAGACTAGACTGTGGAGTTGCCTGGACCTCATCCACTGCCCTCCCACCTGTGCTGAGTGACCCTGGGCTGTGTGCCTGCCCCCTCTATGCCTGGCGTCTCCTCATCTGGAAGATGGGTATAATAATCATAGTGATAAGATAATTCGGGTAAAGGCACGTAGAGCAGTGCCCAGCGCAGAGTGGACGTGCAGCCGATGACGTTAGTGTCACTAATCGCTGCTGTTTTTGAACATCAGGCCAAGGACATTGTGCTTTACCTGGGGAAATGGGGAACCAGGAGAGGGTTTTGAGCAGGGGAGGGACATGGTCAGATTTATGGATTAGGAAGGACAGCTGGGGGTAGGAGGAGGCTGCAGGGGGAGTCTGGGGGGCTCAGAGGCCCAAGGATCTGTAAGGGGTCCCTAAAGGTGCTTGGCTGCTACAGGCTGGGCCTCCCGGGTTGGGGAGGGCAAGGGAGTGAGGGCCTGGCCCAGGAGGGGCTCGGGGTGGACACCGGCTAATGGGGCGCTGTCTGTGGCAGAGCGGAGACCGCCGCGCAGAGAGCAGAGGCGCTCAAGGACTTCTCCCGATCCTCATCCAGTGCCAGCAGCTTCGCCAGCGTGGTGGAGGAGACGGAGGGTGTGGACGGAGAGGACACAGGCCTGGTGAGAGGCTCGGGGGGTCGGGGGCTCCACAGGAGCTTGGAAGGGGGCTCTTTGCTGCCTGGAGATGCCCTGAGTAGAACCACGAGCCTGGGCGTGGCTGAGATGTGATCAGGGGACCCGGCCCAAAGGAGCAGTGCAGACGAACCCTTCCCTGCTCAGAAGCCTTCCATGGCTCCCCAGCACTGTCCACAGGAAGCTCAGTTTCTGGAGCTCTTGGAGATCTGGTCACTCCCTTCTTCTCTAGTCTCCTCTCTCACCGCCTCAGACATTCGGGACTCCCTTGTGGCCCCCCAAGCCTCCCAGGCTCACTGCACCCCTGGCCCTTTGCACGTGTGCCATCTCTTCTGTCTGGAACACTCTTCTGCCGCCTCCTCCTTTCTTTTCGAGGCTGGCTCTGACTCATCCTTCTTGACTGAGTCTCACACACCTCCTTTTGAAAGCCTTCTCTGATTTCCTAGTCTCAGGGTAAGTTAGGAACCCCCTTTGCGTTCTCACAGTCCCTGGGCTTTGCCCGGAACACCCTTCGTCATTCTTCATTTTGTAAACCATCAGTGGGCCCCTGTTCCTTGCCAAGCACTGCCCCAGATACAACAGGTGCAGCTGGAAACAGTGCCGACCCAGGCCCTGCCCGCTGCGGCACAGAGCCTAGAATTACAATGGTCTCTTCACAGCCTGCCTTGCCTCCCAGATACCAGGCTCCTGAGGGCAGGGCCCATGCCTGATTTATGTCAGTGGCAAGCCCTGGAGAACATCAGTGAATGTTGGTTGAATTCAGTGGGTGGTGTGTGCCCGGGTCTTTGCCTGCCCTGACTCTGCCCTCCTGTGATCTCCCTGGGGCAGACATGGCTAGGCCCGTCCTCTTTGCAGGGGGTACGGGTGGGGGATTGTAGAGTGCAGAGAGGGAGAGGGGCTGGGAGGGAGCCCTAGCCAGTGCCAAGGGCATGGGCTAACCTCCCTCCCTCTCTCCACCCCCTCCCCAGGAGAGCGTGTCATCCTCAGGAACACCTCACAAGCGGGACTCCTTCATCTATAGCACGTGGCTGGAGGACAGTGTCAGCACCACTAGTGGGGGCAGCTCCCCAGGTACCAGGACAGGGCAGCTTCCCCACGAAGCAGGGCTACCCTTGGGGTAGGAGGGGGACAGGGCTGGGCACCAGGTCCCATGCCCCACACAGTCGGTGTGTGATGTGACTGCCCCTGCCTTGGAGGACAGTGGGCAGGTCATTGTCCAGCTTAGGGTGGCTGGGCGGATTGGAGGGCTGGTTTCTTCTGGAAGGGTCTCGGAGGATGATGGGGGATGGCAAGGAAGAAAGTTAAGGGTGGGGTTGGAGCGCACTGGTGCCGACCGCCCACCTGTGCCCCCGTCTCCCTGGTGCCTCCCCGCGGCCAGTGAGGTGGCTCCCTCCTGCCCCCCTCCCCAGGCCCCTCTCGATCACCCCACCCAGACGCCGGCAAGTTGGGGGACCCTGCATGTCCCGAGATCAAGATCCAGCTGGAAGCATCTGAGCAGCACATGCCCCAGCTGGTACGTGCAGCCTCCTGGGGCTGGTGCTGAGGGAGCTGTACCCGGGAGGGGATGAGCTGGCGGGGAGGCTGGGAGCTGAGGCTGGACCAAGAGGTCCCCCCAGGCCAGGAGGGGTGGGGCTCGCCCGGCCTGGACACAGCCAGTGACTTTGCACACCTGTGTCTCCCGCCCCGTTGCCTCTCCCGTCTTGCCGCCTGCCTCACCACCACTGTCTGTCTGCAGGGCTGTTAGCCGGGCCACCCCCTCTGAAGGTGAAGCTGAGCAGGTTAGACCCAGCCCTTCAGCTTGTGTTTGGTGGGAGAGGGTGGGGGTGTGTGGGGGGCTGAGGTGATTCCTCCCTGTTGCTCTGTCACCTTTCTGGGATGGGAGCTATGTGTCTGGGTTTGAGCCCCTGGCACTCAGTTGCTGGGTGACTTGGGCAGGCCACGGCCCCTCCCTGCGACCTCTGTCCTTGCATTGTTGGAGGATTTGATGGGAGTGTGAAAGGGACTTGGCAGTTGCCGGGTGGCAGGAAGTTTCAGGGGTTCCCAATGGGATAGAAAGACCCAGAGCCTGGAATTCCAAGGGTGGGCCCCTCTCCCAGGGTGGGGTTCCCTGAGGCAGGGACTTGGCAGAGTTGGGGCACACTGGTGCCAGCCACCCACCATGCCATGTTTCATGGTGTCTCCATCCCCCATTGCCCTGCAGATGAGGCCACAGAAGCACAAGGGGAAGGTGCCGTGTCAAGCCCAGGCAGACGGGACCTCTGCCCTGAAGACCAACACCAGCCTGTGGGCTGCCCCCTGCCTCCCCACCCTCCCTGTGGTCCACCCATCTGGGCTATCTCTGCAGGGCAGAGCCGTCCAGACCTGGGATCGGGGAAGCTGCTGGCATCGTCCCCACCCCCAGCCTGGGGGTCCGGGCTGGGGCGGGGATTGCTCAGTGGAAGCAGGACTGGGGGCCTGGCTTGGGCCCACCCAGGGCCTCCATCACCCCTGAGCATCCCTCTGGACTCAGAGGGAACAAGGTGGGAGAGAGGGATTGAGACAGTTCCGTGCGGAGAGCTTACCCCCTGGAGGCAGCACGAGGTGGATGTGATGTGTCGGGGAGTGAACACTGGGATGGGAGCTGGATCCTGGTTTCCGATTTGGGTTCTGCTGTGTGACTCTGGGCAAGTCACTCTCCCTCTCTGGGCGCTTCTGCTACAAATGGACAAGATTATTTCAGAGGTCACTGAAGACTGTGATTATATGCACCTGCCCTAGAAGGTGGGATTTTCTTCCCAGGGACCTCCTGTCACCCTACCCTGCTTCTTGAGGTCCCTGGAACCCCAGGTGGGCTGAGGGGCAGGGAGCTGGCTGTGCCCAGTGTGCCTCCTGGACCCTCCAGTTCTGCCACAGGTCTGCCAATGCCCTGTCCACTGCCTACATGTGACAGACAAGTGACCCCCTCATGGGGGATGGGGACCTACCTGACTCCTCAGCCAGCACCCAGCTTAACCCCTGCCATCCCATGCTGGGCCCTCCAGGCCAAGAGTCTCAGCTGGCCGAGAGTCCAGGCCTTGCCTCCCTCGACCGCCATGGAGGGGGCAGCCAGGCACAGTTGCTGGGAGCCCTTGTGTGTCTGGTCACACTTTTTAGGCGCCAAGCCAAAGGCCAGCCTCCCAGCCCCAACACCCATTTTGGAAGCCCCTGTGGCCGTGTGGATGTCGGTAACAGTTGTATAAAATAAATTCTATTTATCGCTATTGTACCCAGAGTTGGGCCTGGCTTTGTGTGAACCGTGGCCAGATTGACCCCAGACAGACGTCCAGGGATGCCAAGGTGGCAAGGAGCAAGCCTATCCCCATCAGAGTTGCTGGGCCTGGGGACACCTCCAAAGCCAAGCCACCAGCTCTGTGAGCACGGCCCGCGGTTTCCTCCCCGGGGTACTGTGCTTCCCTGCACCCTGGGCCCCTTCCCCACTGCAGGAAGAACATGGCTGTGCTGTCAGGCAGACCTAGGTTTGAGTCCTGGCACCATCTGGGTGGGTGGCATTGAAAAACTTACTAGCTTCTGTGAGCCTCAGTGTTTCCTTTTGTAAAACAGGAGTGGTAGTGTTTCTCCCAAGGGTTTGTTGTGAGGATTCAATGAGCTGGTGGGTATCAAACATACAGCACACAGTGTCTGGCACACATTAGGTGCTCAATTAATTACTTCCTGCTCCTGTTCTCATATTCAGTGAATCCCCTTATATGGCCACAAGGGGGCGCCAAGGGATCACTTACGGGACCCGATGGGGGCCCAGGAGATGGGGATGAGTCCAAGATCCCTCTACCAGGAACTCACAGCTGGGACAGTAGGATGATGGGTGATGAGGGGCAGCTGGGGACAGGAGAGGTGTGTACCAGCAGGGCCTGGGGGGAGAGGTGTCAGGGAAAGTCCCTGGAATTGCTCCCCGTTCCTGAGAAGGCCTAGGGAGGAGGGACCCTGCAGGAGGGGGCCTCGAGTAAAAGGCGGGGAGGCAGAGCACCCCTGGAACCGGGAAGGTGGCAACCAGCTCCAAATGGTGGGAAGGTGACAATGGAGGGGACAGGGAGATGGGCAGGGATGAGGCCAGAGGCAATGTGGCCTTGAACTCCAGACGGAGGGGCCAGGGCTCTGTGACAAGGGTAGGGGGAGCCCCGGGCAGCAGCGGTAGTTGCTGGTGGAGGCTGCACCAGCGGAGGCAGGAGGGGACCGACGAGGCTGTTGATGGGGTAAGAGGGTAGCCAGGAGGACGCTGAGAAGGACACCAGGCAGGCCTGAGCAGGGGGACCAAGCACCTGATGGGCTGTGGGGCTAAGGGGAGAATCGGACTTGGGTGTCTGGAAGACTTGACCTCCCCCATCTCCCCTGTACTCCTGGGGGTACAGACTGGGACTTGGGTGAATGAGAGGACTCCTCCCTCTGGGGCAGGACCACAGAAGAGAGCAGGTCTGCGGGGTGGGTTTGGGGACATTTGGGAGCAGGCACCAAATTGGGCTCCGAAGGGATCAGCCGTGCCTTGGCCTCCCTGACAGCTTGGCAGTGCCCCCCAGCCCCTGCTGGCCCTGCCCCCTTCCCAGGCACCCCAGGGGGTTGTTCAGGGAGTGCCACACTTTTCCTGACAGGGCCCTTCTGTGACCCTCTGATGCCTCAGGCCACCCATGGGTGGTGACTCACACCCAAACCCCAGCCCCACCCAACTGGGTTTGGCTCTAGGCTGCTCTGGACCCAGTGAGTCCCCTGTGAATCGCCCACCCACCAGCCTCACCCCTGCTCCTTATCCCTCAGTTCCCCCTCTGTGGCAGTCCTCTGCCCTCTCTCCTCCCGCCCTACCTCTGCAGGGCCGGCCGTCACAGTTCAGCACCACGGTTAAGAGCTTCTTCAGAGTCAGCTCTGAGCTGCTTCGCCTCCTCACTCTATGACCACGGAGACATGATTTTGGCTCCCTGGGCCTCAGTTTCCTCATCTCTGCAGTGGGGGTGCTGACAGCCCTGCCCTCGCTGGCACCCTGGCATGAGGATTAAATGAAGTGACATCTCATAACGTTCTCGGTGCAGCCCCAGCACATGGTGGGCTCAAAGAAGTGTGCGTACCGGGGGAGGGGATCAATGACGTCCGTAATTCAGAACACGTGGGGTCTGCTCGGTGCGTGGAGGACGCCCACCTGCTGGGCCCAGCACAGGTGCCTGGATGTGAGGCTTTGGGAATGGAAGGCGTCAGGTGCTTCCCTGGGCCTCAGCTTGCCGGGTTTGCCTGGGGTCATGATGCTCCCATAACAGAGCTGGCAGGGGAGGTGTCCGGCTTGTCTCCCTGTACTTAGCAATGCACCCCCACTCCACTCTATCCTGCAGCTGAGATGGAGCAGCAGGGGCTGCCGTGGCAGAGCAGATGGGCAGCTTGGTGGGCAGAACCTGCCTTTGCCCCGTCCTTGTCCAGCTGGTGCCAGGCCGTCTGCGGGAAGGAAGGCCTCTGGGCTGAGTTTCACCCCACCGCACCCCTCCAAGCTCTGAGGTGGGGTCAGGGGAGGCTGGCAACGGAGCGGGCCTCTGGGATCAAAGTGTCCAGTGCTGTTTCTCTTGTGCCTGCGCCAGCTCTGTGCTCGCCCTGGGCTCTGAGGTGGGAGGGCGAGCCGGGACACTGTGACTGGAGGCTGGAATTAGGACTTGGGCGGGGGGTACCAGGCTCCGGGAAGCGCTGGACTCTGCTTAGAAATTACTCTCGTAGTGGAAACAGCAGCCGGGGGGTTCCTCCAGACGCAAGAGGGAAGAGGCCTCCCATGGACGGACTTGGGTGTCTGGAAGACTTGACCTCCCCCATCTCCCCTGCCTCACAGCAGCGGCCTCCTCTCTCTCGGAGTCTCAGTTTCCTTACTTGGAGAATGAGGACAAGGCCCCTACCTATTGCTCTGAAGAGGCTGTCTTGGCCTCTAAGGTACCGGGATGGCTGCTGGCACAGACCCCATGCCCAGCACAAGGGGGTCCTCCCCTGCCCACCCCCAGCTGGGGTGTCCCTGGACATCCATGGCCAACCCTGGGGCAACTCTGCCAAGGAGATGACCACAGACCCGGACTGGCCACGCCAGGGGACTGGGAGCTGGACGTTCTCTGCTGCCCAGGCCACAGGGGGTACTCAGCCAGGGACCCTGGAATGTGGAGGTTCCTCCCTTCTTCCCTGCTCCCGCCCTGCCAAAGGGATGGAGCCTCCTGAAATAACCAGATCTGGTTAGCGAGGCTAATTTTAAAAGCCACTCTGGCTGCCCCATAGGCCCTTCTGGGAAGCCATGAATGTCCCTGTGTTTGCCCCTGGGAGGCAGGGCAAGGGGAGAGCCCCAGGGCTGAGGCCGGCCTCTGAATGGACTCCCACCCCTGCCTCCCAGGGCCGGCCAGTCTGGGGCCCAATGTTGGGGCTCAGGGGCCCCACCTCTCCTCCTGCCCAGTCCACTCAGGCAAATCCCAGTGGGCTTTCAGGACCCTCCACCCCCTTCACTGGTCTCCCAAAGCAGCTCTGGGCAGGGGCCCCGAAGCTCTCTGTCTGTCTCCCTCTGGGCTGTCTCCCCCTCTGTCTCCAGTGCTCAGTCTCTGTGTCCCTTTATCTCTGTGTCTCCGCCTCTGTCTGTCTCTGACACTCGTGGTCTCTCTCTGCAGCTGTGGCTCTCTCCCCCTCTCTCCCTGGACCCATCACGCAGGAGGTGGGACGCAGTGCTCCTAAGGGTCCATGCGCTGGGCTCTGTGCACCGGGTGGTGGGCGGCTGTGTCCACCTAGGAGCTGGGGTTTCAGGTGCGGCCCAGCGAGGGAGGGAACCAGTCCTGGGGACCAACAGGAGCTATAACTGGGCAGGCAGGAGCCAAGTCCAGACACGACCTGGGCCATCTGGCCAGGCCCACTTCCAGCAGGAGGAAAGAGCTCCAGGTCTAGGGTTGCCAGATTTAGCAAATAGAAACCCACGGTGCCCAGTTAAATTTGAATTTCAGATAAACAAGGAAGAATTTTTAGTTTAAGTATACCTTGTGCGATATTTGGGACATACTTATACTAAAAAATTATTATTTGTTTGTCTGAGATTCAAATTTAACTGAGCGTCGTGTATTTTATCTGGCAGCCCTCTCCAGGGAGGCTCTTGGAGTGAAGGGGGAGGTTTCTCAGGAAAGGCAGGTTGCATAGGCCAGTCTCATGGCAGTGTCAGCCATGCTCTGGAGAAATCCCAGTCTGATGAGCGAGGCACAGCTTCAGACCACAAGGAGTTGGCGTGGGGACAGTCCTCAGGAACGTGGTGGGGAGGCACATGACACACAAAGTCTTCTTAGTGGAACCAGAGACATCAGAAGGAAGCGTCTGTGTGTGCACTAATGGCTGAGCCCAGCACCTTGCACACAGTAGGGGCTCCATAAATATTTGCTGAATGAAGAATCTGGGGAATGGAGGGGGATGTGTGGCCAGCAGGGGGCTCTAGCACCCTACTGCCCAAGCTCTTAGGAACCAAGTGTGCGCCACCCCCAACCTGGGGACTCCCTAGTATGAGCTGCAAAGCGGACAGGAGGGGGCAGAGTGGGTGAAGAGAGGAGGTCAGCTTTTCCTCTATTTTGGTCCCTCCCCAGACCCCAGTTCTACGTGGGAATTCTGCCCTGGGCAAGGGTGCAGGTGGCGGTGGGGACTAGGACAGGTGATCTACCCTTGTGGCATTTGGGGGATGGCTGGGACGAAGGTGGCAGGTGACAGGTCAGAGAGGCACTGCTCAGTGGCACTGCTGTTTCTCAGGGGTCTCCCGTGTGCAGTGCCCTGTGCCCTAGCAGGGCGTTGGATGAGCCAGGGGTTCCCTGGAACCCGGGAAGTGAGGGGTCCTTGTTTCTGGGCAGGCGAGACTTGGGCCTTTATCTGTGGCCCATTAATCTCGGGGGTCTCCCTGAAGGCGGGGGGCAACTAGGGAGAGACCTGTGGCCCTTTCGTGCCTCCCCAGGGGCAGAATTACTTAAACAGCCTTTTTATTCGTTCATTCATTCATTCACTTGCTAACAGGCTCGCTTACTCACTCGTTGCCATTCACTGAGATGACCCCCTAACCGCCCCCTAAACTGCGCCCCCTGCTCAGGATCTCAGCAGCTTGTCCAGTTCCAGCAGGAACACACCACTGGCTCCTGGCGTGACGCTGGGCAAGTCATTGACCCTTCGGAGCCTTGGTTTCCCAAGCCCTGCCATGTGGCTACACTAGCAGCTCCCTGGCAGGATTGCGAGAATGCGTGAGATGATGCC